CAAGAAGTAACTGCAGGTCTGCCCTTTTCACACCTTTACGTTGCAACTTAAATATGCCAATTTTTTTGCGGTGCCTTTGTACAGCCTTGCCGTTCACGAAACAAAAAGCAGATCAACCTGACAAATTACGTTTAAATCCACGTTTAACTTAACGTGCCCGCTGCCTTTCTTAACCATACAGTATTAATTTAAGCATCAAAGAACGACACGAATCGTACCTCGCTATAGGGGCCATCCATTTAGTACGTACGCATGGAGGGGGGAGGGGGGGGGTTAACCCAAATGTGTACGCTTGCGTTTGGGGGTCTATTGACAATGTACGTACGCATAGGAAACGGGGGAGGGGGGGGTGGAGCCTCGATAATAATTATTTGTAAACATTAGCTTTCAAATGAGTTAGATAGTCCGGCGGTGAACTATCTGTTTGCTTAAACACGTTAATATGATTAATCCTTGATCGTTTCTGCGTGGATTAAATATCGGCCGTTCTATAGGATTTGGGGGGGGGGGGGGTGCGTCAGGCGTACGTACGCAGGTGGGGGGGGGGGGGGGGTTAGAAAGTCCGCGTGCGTACAGGGAGGGGTCAAGTTTTGACAGATTTTTGCGTACCCACTAAATGGATGTAGCCTTGACCCGCTTTTCAGACGCTGTTGCATAAGAGCACTGCCACGTGCTCTGTACAGGTTGCTTTCAACATAAGATGATATCTGTCGAGATAATATCCTGCAAGGGTACGTTTTTTCGTCATCTTCTTCTTACAAATGTACCTCGATGTGGCATTTGTTTGCATGATGTCAAAACGAACGACGTGTCACTAATGTACACGACGCGGATGCTCGTGTACGTCTCACGGGAGAGACACGCGCATATCGTTGTTGCCATGTCCTGTATGTACAGCAGACGTAAGGGTTCTACATCTGCTGTTGTTATTCGGCTGCAGGCTAGGGCTGAACGATTTTGGGGAAAATATCTAATTGCGATTTTTCTGACAGATATTGCGATACAAATTTTTTAAGTCAAGCTTCAGTTCAATATTCAATGTATAGTGAGGGAAAAAAGTATTTGATCCCCTGCTGATTTTTTACGTTTGCCCACTGACAAAAAAATGATCAGTCTATAATTTTAATGGTAGGTTTATTTGAACAGTGAGAGACAGAATAACAACAAAATCCAGAAAAACGCATGGCAAAAATGTTATAAATTGATTTGCATTTTAATGAGGGAAATAAGTATTGACCCCTCTGAAAAACATGACTTCGTACTTGGTGGCAAAACCCTTGTTGGCAATCACAGAGGTCAGACGTTTCTTGTAGTTATCCATCAGGTTTGCACACATCCCAGGAGGGATTTTGTCCCACTCCGCAGATCTTCTCCAAGTCATTAAGGTTTCGAGGCTGACGTTTGGCAACTCGAACCTTCAGCTCCCTCCACAGATTTTCTATGGGATTAAGGTCTGGAGACTGGCTAGGCCACTCCAGGACCTTAATGTGCTTCTTCTTGAGCCACTCCTTTGTTGCCTTGGCCATGTGTTTGGGGTCATTATCATGCTGGAATACCCATCCACGACCCATTTTCAATGCCCTGGCTGAGGGAAGGAGGTTCTCACCCAAGATTTGAGGGTACATGACCCCGTCCATCGTCCCTTTGATGCGGTGAAGTTGTCCTCTCCCCTTAGCAGAAAAACACCCCTAAAGCATAATGTTTCCACCTCCATGTTTGACGGTGGGGATGGTGTTCTTGGGGTCATAGGCAGCATTCCTCCTCCTCCAAACACGGCGAGTTGAGTTGATGCCAAAGAGCTCCATTTTGGTCTCATCTGACCACAACACTTTCACCCAGTTGTCCTCTGAATCATTCAGATGTTCATTGGCAAACGTCAGACGGGCATGTATATGTGCTTTCTTGAGCAGGGGACCTTGCGGGCACTGCAGGATTTCAGTCCTTCACGGCGTAGTGTGTTACCAATTGTTTTCTTGGTGACTATGGTCCCAGCTGCCTTGAGATCATTGACAAGATCCTCCCGTGTAGTTCTGGGCTGATTCCTCACCGTTCTCATGATCATTGCAACTCCACGAGGTGAGATCTTGCATGGAGCCCCAGGCCGAGGGACATTGACAGTTCTTTTGTGTTTCTTCCATTTGCGAATAATCGCACCAACTGTTGTCACCTTTTCACCAGGCTGCTTGGCAAAGGTCTTGTAGCCCATTCCAGCCTTGTGTAGGTCTACAATCTTGTCCCTGACATCCTTGGAGAGCTCTTTGGTCTTGGCCATGGTGGAGAGTTTGGAATCTGATTGATTGATTGCTTCTGTGGACAGGTGTCTTTTATACAGGTAACAAGCTGAGATTAGGAGCACTCCCTTTAGATTAGGAGCACTCCCTTTAAGAGTGTGCTCCTAATCTCAGCTCGTTTATCTGTATAAAAGACACCTGGGAGCCATAAATCGTTCCGATTGAGAGGGGGTCAAATACTTATTTCCCTCATTAAAATGCAAATCAATTTATAACATTTTTGACATGCGTTTTTCTGGATTTTGTTGTTGTTATTCTGTCTCTCACTGTTCAAATAAACCTACCATTAAAATTATAGACTGATCATTTCTTTGTCAGTGGGCAAACGTACAAAATCAGCAGGGGATCAAATACTTTTTTCCCTCACTGTAATAGATGTAAAACATGTGATGGAGCATTATCACATGATACCATAAAAATACGAACTGCTCTATATATTCTCGTGCAAGGATGAGAACTTAAATAGATTAATTGCTCCAACATGTGTTTATTAAAATGTTTTCATTGAAATAGAACAATCAAACATAGAACAATTGTTAAGTTTAATAAATAAAGTTATAATAATAAAAATATACAATTCCAATGAGAAAGTAATAGGACTCTTCAAATCGCAAAAAAATCGCAGCCTTTGTGATTTGGTAATCGCATTGTTTCAAATTGCGTTTTCGTTTTGGAATCGATTAATCGTTCAGCCCTACTGCAGGCGCATACCGTGTTCTTCCAGTCTTCGCTGCTCGGTTTGTCTCTCTCTGTTGCTCTTATGTTCTCCACCAGCTGTGCCAGCCTGGCAGTCCATCCATCATCGTGCCTAATTTAGCAATGACTCCACACATTGTGTCGCCAAAAACTGAGATGAGGACATCAGGGAGTGAGGGTTTGTGGGTGGGGGTGATGGGGGGGGTGTCGAGAATGGGTGGCCACGTTTTCGCTTGGGTGTCGGATAAGATTAGCCTGGGGCTAGACATGTGTTCCAGACATTGATATCACGCGTGATTTTGTTTACAATGAGCAGCCTGCAACGGCTCTCATAATCGTTTTTTTAAATCTCAATGTGTGTTTAGAGATTAGATGCAATGATTATGTACCCATGATGTGTTCATCTATGCTTCATGAAGTGGGGTCATAATGCATTTTAATAATAAATATCGTCTGGCATTATTGGTAAATTCATCTTTGTACTGTTACACTTTTCTCCAAAACATTAAAGCTGACAAAACAGTTGTTACCATTTCTTTCACATACTATCAGTACCGCTCGGTACTGACAGCAAATTGTAACAGGACACTTGGATAAAGTTGTTTGCAAAAGAAACCACGCGAAATCGTTTTGTATTTGGGTTGTTAAACGATAACCGGTAACCGTTTTCAGAATAAATGACCACCTTCCGAATGTCCAAACCCGTAAACCGATTCCAGTTGAAATGTTGATTCGTGAATGCGTCGCTCATGGCACGTGTAAACGTGCGTGCTGCACGGCGCCCTAAGCCACCACTTAGTACATTTGCCATCGGTTGCTCAGTTTAAAGGTAAAACTTGCGTAGCCCTGTAATTCCAGGCCACATTGTGTCAATTGCCGCGCCGGGAAATGAAGTCCAATCGGCGACCACTGGATCGGAGAGTCGCGGACACTCCCTTCTTTTCTCAGTTAAAGTGGTAATAAATAAATAAGGTTACGTTCCTTCATTGGTAACTTTTCTCTAACGGGTTTTTTTTCACGCGGTTACCGATAATAATAAAAAAAAAACCACTGATGTGAACAACCTTATCGCATGAACATGTATACATAAACATTGGACACACTCAATAAGCACAGCAAAAAAAAACCGACATAACATGTTTTAATTGTGAAAACGTAATGTTTTTTTATTCAACTAGTAGCACAACGTAAAACAGTATAGTCATATATAGTTATGATGTGATACTAATATTCTACAGCCCCTTCAAATCCACTGCTGGATGAAGTGAAATAGGCACACCGTGTCGATCATGCGAATTGTTGGAGGACACCTCAGAGCACTGCTCACAAACGTGCACTTGGAGTATATTTGGTTGCTATACATTTCTACATGATAAGCCACTTCATTGGTCGAAAATTTGTGGCAGGTTGCTTCTGAAACAGATATATAGAGCTTAGTGGGCCTTATCTGGTAAATTAAAAATAGGTAAATAGGTAAGTGTGGGGTAGAGGACAGGACTCTGTTCAGATATCACTCACCGTTGATGTCAGTTAGCCATGCCCAGGCATCAAACTCGGGTCACACCGGGTTTGTAACCAGTGCGTGAACCGCCGCGTCACTGCTGCCATGGTATAGGCACCATTAGAATAGCCGATTTGTTTAATCACGCCACTTGTAATGGATAAGCTGAAGACTGCTTCTATGCTGCCGAAATTATCGTCTATTGCGCCATTACTCAAACGCCGAACAGCACAAATGTTGTTCTGCAGAGTTGGAAGTGATCGAGAATAGCCGACTCTAAGCCTCTTCATCACCAGGGGGCCTCCTTCACCGCACACAATTACCTGTCCACTGCCAGTTCTACGCTAGGAGATTTATAAACATCAGGAGGGGAGGTAATGACGAAGATATGAAGATGTACATTAGGGAGTGTTGAAATATCAGTGTTGTGCCATCTATTTTAATTATAACCGTTGCTTTGATGTGACCAGCACAGCGGTGGTTGGAAGGAGGACGTTGTCTCCTCTTTTTAGTGACACCCCGGCCAGCTCTTTTACCACGATCACATCAGCTGGAGAAATATCCCACTAAAAACGGCAGCTGCAACAATATCCTGGGTGATGATGCATCACATCAGGTACGTTCTGGGACGTATGACTCCGCTGACCAGGCCACTCGTTTAGGCATTCGCAGCTGTTCGTCATGGCGATGAACCCTGCATGTCTTCCCTAGGGACACATGTATGGGAAGGTGGGAAATTGCCGTGGGTTGAATTTGATAAAAGGGTGAATCCACATGGCTCGCACAAATGCACTGGCTTGGAGCCCAGTGGGTGCTTAATTTGCCGGGATATGGGTCGGTTAGTGGCAACAGCTGTTGGAGAACAAACGGAGAGTAGACGTTCATATGTTCCGCCGCACTGAAACCGTCCATCAAGAAACCACTCTCGGAAATCGCCCACTCATTGATCATGAACGCTTCGACTGGAATGTATGTGTATGAAGAATCCAGTGATTGACCATTGTGTGTCAATCACGCCGCACGCGCTGAACAGCTCTACGACGGCATGTAGGGAAGAGACATTCTCAGGTTTTCGAATATCGCCTTGTTTTTTTACACAATTGTGTTTCGGTTTAACCGTTTAGAATGTTCCATCAAATTATTTCATGCAGTTTATTTTTGTATATACTGCATCGTGTTACATTACATTGAGTTATAACACGGGATTTGTAATTTTCGAATGTGTACTTTCTTTGTCTGAAAATGTATTTAAGTGTCACATTGAAGAAGTATATTCCATATAGAGATACCATTTTTTTGAACGGATGAATAATTCGTAAATGAGGATAATGAATTGTTTTACCAATGGATGTATAATCACTGTAACCTTCGAAATTAAAACAAATTAAAATGTTACTCCCACAGAATATGTACGTGTGTAAAAAAATATATACTACAGAATATGTCAATTGGGGTAAATGCACAATATGCTCATGCCGGAGGGGTATGAAGGTCGTGACACCCTTTGGATGATGTCACGACATTCGCGGGATGCGTGTGGGTTTGGGGAGCTTGGCTATTTTCGTCCGAAGGCCAGCCACTGGATGGCAGTGTTGACTTCCTCTGTGTGACAAACGACTCCCATGTAATGACGCTTTTGTCTGGAGGAAATAGCAAATCACACGTACGCGCATTATTCATCGCCGCAGCAACAGCAGCAGCAGTAATGGCAACGCACGCCCCTTCAGGGTTAAAAATATCTCAGCTCTCACACTCATTGTTGCAAACCGCATGACAGGCACATCGCCGTAAAGTATATTTTCAGTGTGCCGAAAATATAAAAAGCCAAAGTGTTCCCTGTGCTTGAATAAATATTTTGTCCTCTCGTTTTCTTGCTGGATCGAGTTCACGATTCAACGCTTGCAATTTTACATCTCAAGCATCCGTAGCGGGTGGTTACCCGGTGTTCATAATGGTGTGCCTTTAACGCAAACCTTTATTTATTTAAAGGTGAAAATGAGAATACAACAAACGCATTATAAACAAAACAACAGTGAGTCTCTCTAATAGTTTTAAAGTATACGGGTTCATTGAAACATCACTTGATACATCCCATTACTGTGCACTACGAGGAGATAAGGATGGTGTGTTGAACTTCTTTCACACCGTACGTAGTCGACCTCGCTAATCGGAGGTGTGGAAAGGAGTGGGGGCGGTTATTGCTCCTAGGATGCATGGGGAGCAGTGCTGAATTAAGCTATCGCGGGGCCTGTAGCATATGTTATAAAGGGGCCCTAAATATAAAAACACATCAATATGAAAACACTACTTTTTAATAGTAAAGTAAAGTAATCGTATTTTTTTCATTTGCTATAGAGCCAGATAATACGACAAATCGCTAATCTTAAACACTCAGTAGTTCATAAAAGTTGAAAGCAGTATAGTACTAAAGGAATAGAGCAAATGCAGAATCACTGAACCGGAATTGATAGCTTGAAAGCATTTAGCGAGGAGCCCTTGAAAGTGCGGGGCCCGTAGCATATGTAGCTGCTTGTGCTACTCGGATAATCCGGCACTGATGGGGAGGGATATCATACTCCATTTCCAGTTACGAATGTTGTGTAAGTTAAAAAGTTGGGTTTGGGTGGCTGGAGGCAGAATGGATTACTGCAGATATAGAGGATTGAAATATTGAATCGGCTTATGCCCAGCAGGAAAGGAGTGACAACAAAACATTTCACAGTCGCTCAGACACCTGATGTCATTTATTTGATAATTTATTCAGAAAACCCTCATTGAGTATACAGCAATAAAATGTTTCTCCAATTTTGCTTTTCATAACCTTATAATTAAAAAAAACTACACAGGGAAAATAAAACCATAATGACAGGTTGCTGAAATTCGGAACTGGTAATCGGTTCTGAAAACAGTTATAACCCTGTAAAAATAATTGGCTCAGGAATGATAACGTTCCACGCGAAATGACATCTCCTGTGACCGTTATGCAGTAATTTTGTATAATTATAGTACCTTTCTATCTGCCGAAAAATGGATGTTGAAGATTTTAAGAGATCACTCTCGAGTAGGGAAATGTGTAGGATCCATCAAAGTCAAACTATCAAGATATTAAAGTCCACTGAGACGGCCAGACACATCGTGAAAGAGAAAGGGAAATCTCATCAGAAGAAAGGTTATGAACATATGTAGTAGTCGTAGATGGAGACGGAGTCGTAGTAGGAATTAAACACTTTTATTTATATCCTTAACAACGATTCCCTAGGTCCTTAACACGAAGGGGTAACGGCCCCTTATACCCACACCTAGGGAGGTACAGCCTCCGGGCTAGCTTACTCTAGCGTTGGGTCGAACCACTACTCTAGCCCTCCGGCTAGCTGGACCTAGGGGAGGCTGACCCACCGCCGGCACCGGTGGGTCTTTGACCACTGGCCCGTCCAGACTCGGCCATGAGAAGGACGTCGGGCTGAGGGAACTTCAGGGCCCTAGCCTCCTGACCACTGGCACCACACTGAGCCCCGGCCCTCAGAAGGACGTCGGGGCTTGGGGTCCAGGATCTCCTCTTCAGGCGGCTCCACGGCTTCGGCTTGAGACCAACTCCCCGCTGCTCTCAGGAGCCCGCCTTTTATACCATTTCCCACCGAGGGGCGGGGGTACCGAGGGATCACAGATCCCTCGCAGGCCCCTCCCCTCAGGAGAGGTACTGGTCCAAGGGTCAGGAACCTATGGCTCGCGAGCCAGATGTGGCTCTTTTGATGACTGCATCTGGCTCGCAAATAAATCTTAGCTGACATTTCTTTAGTTGTATTCAGTGTTAAAAAATATGATATGGCTCTTACAGAAATGTATTTTAAAATATGTGGCTTTCATGGCTCTCTCAGCCAAAAAGGTTCCCGACCCCTGTGCTAGTCACAGGGAGCCCAACAATCTGTGCTTGTTCGACCCCACTTTCTGTCTAGGACCAGGGTTCTGGGGGATCCCACACACACACACACTTCACAGCTTCTACCCCTCAGGCGGGGTCTCCATCAGGGTTATGAATGACCCCGCTCTGGTAGTTACTGTGTAGCGTGTGCGTGTTTACAGAGTGACCACCACACATGGAAGCACCAGAGCAGGAACCGGGAGGCAAGCCGAGAGAGAGGTGGCTCCAAGTGGTGAACCAGGATGGAAAAGAATGCGGAGTGGACATGGAGTTCAAGACCTAGGCCAGCTATGTATGGTGAAAGAGTATCAGAAAGGTAGAGCCTACATCAATAAGATACTAGCCAGTTATTAAGAGTTGCCCATTGTATGTTTCCTGTTTAACTATTGCAGTTATTTTGTATACAGTATGTATATTATTGTATTCATAAACTGTGTGGCTTCACAACTGTTTACCTTCGCTGTAAATGTGTCTTGAGACGCGTATACATTTAGGTGCTACATCAATTACAATTGTCGTTCACATTGGATATCTGGCTTCAGCGATGAATCTTCCAGGATGATCTCACACAAGTCGAGACACGGTAATCTGGCGTACGTGAGTGATCCTGGGAGTGCCATGCACTGCCCCTACAGTCTGTTAAGGCTATAGGGGCGTCTTTGTGCCCCTCAACTATTCATACCAACACGCGCGAGGGCGAATTCAGAACAATTGACACCGGCTGCACGTGATGGCAAGCACTTCCAGGCGGTTAGATTCTCGACCGCTTATACCTACGGACGGCTCACAGACATAGACTCTGATTTGAGCAAGCTCGTTAAATAACGGCGCCAATTTGTGGTTCGTGCAGGTGTAGTGGAATAAAGAGGCGCATGGGTGGTAATTGGTGAGTTTGCGCGGGAGCAGGGCAGTAGGGGGTCATATTGGGACGATGAGGTACCGATTGTGCCAATTAAGCTGGGGGGAGCCAGGGACGGCTGTGATTGGCTGGTGTGGTTGTCAGTGCTGGAGTGTGATTGGCTGGTGTTGTTGTCAGTGCTGGAGTGGCGTCTTGAAGTCTGGCGAGGTGACAGGCGCACGGGCACGCGGAGTGCCGTTGGGACTGCGGGTTAATTAATTGGGGTGTAATGAGAGCTGGGACAAATTGGGGAGACGCGAGAAGAAACGGGGAGTTGGAGTCGGGGGGGCTGGACGAGGCAAGACGTGGAGCAGCTGAAGAGAGAAGCAGCTAGCAGTGGAGAGAGCATAGTGATAGCGAAGAGCGGAAGACAGAGACGAAGCAGTCAGCAGTGGAGAGAGCATAGTGATAGCGAAGAGCGGAAGACAGAGACGAAGCAGTCAGCAGTGGAGAGAGCACAGTGATAGCGAAGAGCAGAGACGAAGCAGCCAGCAGTAGAGAGAGCACGGTGATAGCGGAGAGCGGGGAGTAGGGACGAAGCAGTTAGCAGTGGAGAGAGCACAGTGGTAGCGGAGAGCAGAGACGAAGCAGTTAGCAGTGGAGAGAGCACAGTGATAGCGGAGAGCGGAGAGCAGAGACGAAGCAGTTAGCAGTGGAGAGAGCACAGTGATAGCGGAGAGCAGAGATAAGCAGCCAGCAGTGGGGGAAGCACAGTGACATCGGAGCTGACGGAGAAGCGGAGATTGGAGAGACAAAGGTGGCGAGCGAGTCGAGTGAAGCACGGCGAGCGAGCTGTGGCAACAAGGGAACTGTGGAGCATTGAGGACATGTGGAGAACTGTAAATAAAGTGGTGTTGGAAGAAAGACAAAAGTTGGCCGAGTGAAATCAACCACTACACAGGTAATCTCTACTTTAAAGCGAGTGGACATAAGCAGTGGCGTAGTTGACATGGTCCCTGGTGTAAGGAGTAAAATACCCTCTGCATCGCCTGCCAGCTGGGCCCCACCGGCCTATAGGCCCTGGTGCAGTTGAATCGCGTGCATACTAGACACCAATGCCACTGTACTTGATAAATATACATCAAGAGAAAGAATGATCGACGAGAGAAAAGACCCGTGACGGAATGGCAGGCAAAGGAGAGAGCGCACCCAAGAAGGTGATCACTGCACAGAAGAGTGATGAGATCAGGTCATGTGCAGGGGTGAGATGGAAGGATTGCGTCATCGCAGGACCTTAAGGTCTGGTGCCGAACGGGGTGATGATCTTCAACCAGCATTGGATCGACCATGGCTCATGGGGTTAATATCAGCTGGGTTTATCTGGGTCGACGACCCAGGGAATATGTCCACACCTGGCACATCCACTCGCAACATACCTCTCCCTATGGTTATGTGTGTGGCTATTAATCAGGTGTCTATTCCAGTCTACCAGTGACCCGTTACATAATCGGTGAATAAATTAAGCGCCGATGATAATGATTATGTATGGCCGAGCACAATGAAGGTCGCACGCAAAAAAGGCATGGACATGAACGTGCACCGAGTACACATTGAACATGCCACGCCACGTGTTCTCACGGGCACGAGTCACGGCGCGGTTCCAAGCGGGAGAGTTGTTCGGCGGAGCGCTTAATGTCGCTCCCAGAGACTTTACATGAAAGGCACAGGCGGCTGTCACTTGACTTTCTCGAAAGTGCATTTCAAAGGAGTGAGCAACTGCAGCCTCTGCAGAGGACATCGACTCCTCGTCTGTGTAGGACGACCAATCAAGCCGCGTATAGGTCATGCAGCTCAAATGAAACTACAGTAATGCAAACAGTTTATATTTTTAATTCCGATTTACTTTTACCATGACCAATATTTATTTTACATATTGAACAACCGTGCATTGTCATGAGAATATATATACTGTGGTTGTCTGCTGTTTTCACTTGCGTTTGATTAAAAATTTATCTGGCGCTATTTAATTGTACATTTATATCCTTAGGGGGGTTTAACAGCGGAGCGAGCAGTGATTATCACACTGCGCTGAACCTAGTAGCCTGAGTTTGATTTCCAACCACGGCGAATGCCAGCGGTGATTGATATCTGAACCGCTCCACTCCCCTCATTCAAGCCTTTACCAACCCGCACTGACCAGCGTAGTGAAGTATGGTCAAATAACCACCGATATACCTTCACATGGCGGGCAGATGCCTTAATCCAACAGTAGGAATGACAATGGCATGCAAATAATGCTTGTGAATGCTGGTAGATATTGTGGAAGAACATCGGATATTAGAGATTTTGCCAAAAAAGAGGTAGCAGGACTTTGGTGGAACGTGTGTGCAGGGATGGGGGCGGAGCAATTACACAGACTGTCACTGGAGTGAACTCCAAGAGTCTGGCGACCAAGGGGAGAGGCTTAAGACCAGGTGGTGTGATGCTCTTTGGGCAGATCTTGGGGGTTGCTGTGTCTCTATTGTGCAGCAGCTGCGGGATCTGGCAACGGAGTAGACAATTTTGGCAATGCGGTGTGGGGGCATCCAATGGCGGAGCAAGGATTTCCAGGTAGGAGGGGGCAATCTCCCCAGCAATGAAAAATTATAGGAGTTGTTAGTATGTAAGGACTTGTCCCTTGCTTTTCATTCGACACGTGCGGGGCGATGGCGCAGCCATCGATCGAGGGTCGAATTTGAACCGTGTGTGATCGGCATCGCGTTCGCTGAAGGTATGATGCCTTCAGAGAAGTCGTGTACTGTAAATGCAACTGCACATAATTATGTGAGTCACTTAAAACTGCTTTTCCGTTACTTATTGCCAATTATGGACTCAGACTATTGTTCTATCATCTCACAGAGTCTCTGGCACGTAATAATATTCTACACAGTGGCAGTGGGGGTTACAAAATGCCGATTTATTACGAACAAACCCCAATGATCCGATCGAAATTAGGGATTTCGTTCGTATCATTTGGGGGGCACGTGCCACCCCACGATCACTCCTCCTCGATCTTGAGAAACTCACAATACAGCGCCCTAATATCGTTTTTTTGTTAGATCGCGTTAATGTTGCATTAAACACGCCACCACCCGACAGCCAATTTGTAAGGTTTGTCACATAAACTCAACATGCCAATTCGTTACTAGTACAGCACACCGGTGTGTTGGAAAGCAAATCCACAACATTTATCATCTGAGTACGACGTTTCACCAGTAATTACAACTAGCATCATCAGAAGAATTCGTTCTGCCGTGTTTCAAATCTGATTTGTGCTCGCGAATTCGGTCAGAGACATGTCGTTTCGTCTCCCCGATATAGCAGTCACCACAGGTGCAGCTCAATTTGTAAACTCCGGGGTACTGTAAGTCAGGAATAACATCCTTCACGGAAGGGATCAGGTCACGGATTTTGTGTACTGTATTGAACCGGACCAGTATCTTGTGTTTGTTTAGAATTTTGGAGATCTTTTTAGTAACGCCTGCTATATATGGCAGTGTGATGGTTTTGATCGGAGTATCAAGTGGTTGTTTTGTATGGAGGGAGAAACAGCTTGGCGGATGGTACGGTCAGAGTATCCATTCCTTTTGAGGGCCAGATGCACATGTTTTAATTCACTGGTCAAGTGGTGTTGGTCCGAAATGCAATGAGCCCTGTGGTATAACGTTTTGATGAGGGAATTATTTTGCATCGACTGGTGGTGGGAATCAGGTTTCAAGTAGGAATCTGTGTGGGTGGGTTTCCTGTAGACAGAATGTCCCAATGAGCCATCAGGTCTCCTCTCAAACAGAACATCCAAGAATGCAAGCTTGCCATCTTTCTCCATTTCCATGGTGAATTTGATGGCGGGGTGTCTGGAATTAATGTGGTCTAGGAAAAGGTTCAAAGCCGGGAGGCCATGTGGCCAAATGACGAAAGTGTCGTCTACATATCTCTTCCACAGGGAAGGTCTGAGGGTGGAAGTCTGGATGGCGTCTGATTCAAATTTCTCCATGAAAATATTGGCTATCACCGGTGACAATCGGGATCCCATGGGGGTACCCTCATTTTGTTTGTAGAAGGAACCATTCCAAGTAAAGTAGGTGTTGGTGAGGCAGTGTCTCACCAGCAGTGTCTCACCAGCGCAGGTGTATCGGGGTCTAGTCCATGTTGGACCAAATTTTCAATTATTTCAATGGTATCAGGTACTGGGACCTTGGTGAACAAAGAGACCACATCGAAGCTGACAAGGATATCGTCAGGGGACAGTACAACGTCTTTGACCATAGAGACCAATTGGGCTAAGTTAAGTGCTGCTGACGCGGTCTTGCCAGTGAAAGGCAGCAAGGTGTCTGACAGAAAACGAATTCTTCTGCCGTAGCTGATCACTGTTACAACGCTGTGGGTGATCACGATATAATTTTCTCCGATACCAAGGTTCTTTGCAAACCCACGGGTTTTTATCAGAGATTTGTTCACGAGGCAATTCAGATTTACAAACACAGACACAATTTCAACCGAGAAGATGGTTTCAAATTAAGCAACCATTGGAAAGATGTTCTAAATCGAACCAAACATTAAACTAATTTTCAATGGTACAGTATATTATTCATAATAAGTAGTGAATTATTTGTCTTTTGTCAACGTGACACTTTTTTGCTGATTGGCCGTGTCGGGTGGTGGAGGGTTACGACACATTTATAAATAAACGCGATCTAACCCAAAAACCTTTATTATGAATAATATTGGTAGCGAAAGCCTACATGTTAAACTGGTACAGTATATTTTTTCAAGTAGTGGAATCCCAAACTTTCGCAGCTGCTTAAATTCCCTTTTCACACCATCAATATGTGAACTCCCCCTCCCCCCCTCGCCGGTCTGCATATGTTCACCCCCTCTCATCCGTTCACCATGCTAAGTCCGCCAATTGAATGCAAATTTTTATGCTAATTCCTTTGTCAAGGCACCTTAATTCCTCTCACACAAGCTTAGAGGTCGCGGTCTGAGCTTGGCTGTGTTCACTCCAGCGCTGTCCTCGAGACAGTCTGGTCCCTTCACCTGATGAAGGCCACTTGTGTTGTGGCCGAAACGTCGTGATTTTTGTTGTTTTATTTTTTACCTACGTGACTTTATCGAATAGAACCAAAGAGTATGGATCCTTGCAGTCACGAAAGCTTCAAATATAGAATTGTTATCTCCACATGACAACCAGTGCCACTATTGGAGCGGCTCGGCTGTGATGCGGGTTTGACTACCTCCGATGCACATTTCTCTCTCCCCATATTTTCCGGTGAGTGGCTCAGCAGGCTCAGGCTCTGCGCGGTCCCGCAATTTTTTTTTCAAATCGCATTTTTTCCACGTCCTTAATTCACTCCGCCGCGCGCACTTGCACGCCGGCTCAAC